ACTCTTTCTTTGCTAACTCTTTCTTTGACTAACTCTTTCCCTGACTATCTCTTTCTTTGACTAACTCTTTCCCTGACTAACTCTTTCTTTGACTAACTCTTTCCCTGACTAACGGTTTCTTTGACTAACTCTTTCTTTGACTAACTCTTTCCCTCACTAACTCTTTCTTTGACTAACTCTTTCCCTGACTAACTGTTTCTTTGCTAACTCTTTCCCTGACTAACTGTTTCTTTGACTAACTCTTTCTTTGACTAACTCTTTCCCTGACTAACTGTTTCTTTGCTAACTCTTTCCCTGACTAACTGTTTCTTTGCTAACTCTTTCCCTGACTAACTGTTTCTTTGACTAACTCTTTCTTTGACTAACTCTTTCCCTGACTAACTCTTTCTTTGACTAACTCTTTCCCTGCCTACTTTTCCTTTGCTAACTCTTTCTTTGCTAACTCTTTCTTTGACTAACTCTTTCCCTCACTAACTCTTTCTTTGACTAACTCTTTCCCTGACTAACTGTTTCTTTGACTACCTCTTTGTTTGACTAACTCTTTCCCTCACTAACTCTTTCTTTGACTAACTCTTTCCCTGACATTCTAAAAGTCCGTAACACGGAAGTTTCTCCCCCTAAACTTCCTTTGACAATGCGGAACCGATCCGAGCATGATCCGAGACCGATCCGAACATGATCCGACCACACACGAGACCGTCTCGCACCCGTCGCACAGCAGAGGTAGATCATCGAAGTTCGTGGACACACTTTGTATGGAAAAACATAGGGTTTCGTGCATCTGCTATCTCTCAAAAACGCATTTCGTGCGAGACTTCCTTCAAAACTCCATCGGCAACTCCTCCACCAGCACCACTTGCAATGCCATTTGCATTGCGGGAACGATCCTACAGTTGCAAATCACAATGGAATTCCATCTGCAACTCATCCCCCAGCACCACTTGCAATTCCATCTACATTGCGGGAACGATCCTACAGTTGCAAATCACAATGGAATTCTGTCGACCGCACATAGACGAAACACAGTTGAAACCCCATTTACAATGCGGAACCGATCCGAGACCGATCCGACCATGATCCGAGGATGATCCGAGGATGATCCGACCACACACGAGACCGTCTCGCACCCGTCGCACCGCAGAGGTAGATCATCGAGGTTCGGGGACAGACTTTGTATGGAAAAACATAGGGTTTCGTGCATCTGCTATCTCTCAAAAACGCATTTCGTGCGAGACTTCCTTCAAAACTCCATCGGCAACTCATCCCCCTTTCCCTGACGAACCTTCGACGAACTAACTGTTTCTTTGACTAACTGTTTCTTTGAGTAACTCTTTCTTTGACTAACTCTTTCTTTGACTAACTCTTTCTTTGACTAACTGTTTCTTTGACTAACTCTTTCTTTGACTAACTCTTTCTTTGACGAACTCTTTCTTTGACTAACTCTTTCTTTGACGAACTCTTTCTTTGACTAACTCTTTCTTTGACTAACTGTTTCTTTGACTAACTGTTTCTTTGACTAACTCTTTCTTTGACTAACTCTTTCTTTGAGTAACTCTTTCTTTGACTAACTCTTTCCCTCACTAACTCTTTCTTTGACTAACTCTTTCTTTGACGAACTCTTTCTTTGACTAACTCTTTCTTTGACGAACTCTTTCTTTGACTAACTCTTTCTTTGACTAACTCTTTCTTTGACTAACTGTTTCTTTGACGAACTCTTTCTTTGACTAACTCTTTCTTTGACTAACTCTTTCTTTGACTAACTGTTTCTTTGACGAACTCTTTCTTTGACTAACTCTTTCTTTGACTAACTGTTTCTTTGACGAACTCTTTCTTTGACTAACTCTTTCTTTGACTAACTGTTTCTTTGACTAACTGTTTCTTTGACTAACTCTTTCTTTGACTAACTGTTTCTTTGACTAACTCTTTCTTTGACTAACTCTTTCTTTGACTAACTCTTTCTTTGACTAACTCTTTCTTTGACTAACTGTTTCTTTGACTAACTCTTTCTTTACATTCTAAAAGTCCGTAACACGGAAGTTTCTCCCACTAAACTTCCTTTGATCATCTCATCTCATCTAGTCTCATCTCATCTCATGTTGTGTCTTTTCAGCGCTCTTCGTCACATCTCATCTCATTTCACCTCACCTCATGTCTTCTCTCCTATTCTCAGCTCATCTCATCTCTTCTCGATTCATGTCGGCTAATCTCATCTCCCTTTTTGTCATCTCAGCTTTTCTCATCAGAACTCTTCCCTTTTTCCCCACCTGCCAGGTGAGGGTTGTTAGATTTTATCACAGTTGTTCTCCTCCTCCGCCTCCTCCTCATCCTCCACCTCCTTCTCCTCCTCCTCCCTCTCCTCCAGCTTCTCCTCCACCACCTTTGCATCCACTCCCATGTTCACTTCCGCCTTTCCAACTCTTCGCCAAGCTCTTCGCCAACTTCCGCACGCAGTGGGCACTGCTGGACCTCAACTGCAAGGGTCTGAGCGCGCTGGACCTCAACCTGGGACCTTCCGAGCTCAGTGAGCACCCGCTGGACCTCAACCTGGGACCGTCCGAGCTCAGTGAGCACCGCTGGACCTCAACCTGGGACCCTCAAGATATGCCAGATAGAACGCCAGATAGAATGTCAGAAGATTTGCCAGATGAAGTGCCAGAATGTTTGCCAGATAGAATGCCAGAAGATATGCCAGATAGAGTGTCAGAAGATATGCCAGAAGATATGCCAGATAGAAGGCCAGAAGGTATGCCAGATAAAGTGCCAGAATGCTTGCCAGATAGAGCGCCAGAAGATTTGCCAGATAGAATGCCAGATAGAATGTCAGAAGATATGCCAGATAGAGTGCCAGAAGATATGCCAGAACATATTGCAGAAGATATGCCAGGTAGAATGCCAGGTAGAATGCCAGAAGATATGCCAGGTAGAATGCCAGAAGATATGCCAGATAGAATGTCAGAAAGAATGCCAGAAGATATGCCAGATAAAGTGCCAGAATGTTTGCCAGATAGGATGCCAGAAGATATGCCAGATAGAATGACAGAAGGTATGCCAGATAGAATGTCAGATAGAATGCCAGAAGGTATGCCAGATAAAGTGCCAGAATGTTTGCCAGAACATATGCCAGATAGAATGTCAGAAGATATGCCAGATAGAGTGCCAGAAGATATGCCAGAACATATTGCAGAAGATATGCCAGGTAGAATGCCAGGTAGAATGCCAGAAGATATGCCAGGTAGAATGCCAGAAGATATGCCAGATAAAATGCCAGAAGATATGTCAGATAGAATGCCAGAAGATTTGCCAGTAACAAAACGTATAGATGTCATGGTGGGGAGTACTCGAAGTAAAGTAATTAGCTCTTCTCTCATTCTTCGCAGTTCTTTTTGAATTGAGCAACATTAGTCGCTCTTCTGAGACTTGCGTCAGCTCCTTTCGTCTCATTTCAAGTCTGTTTTGGCGCTGTTGTACTCTTTTTCGATTATCTTCTCTTCTTCTTGCAGCTCACCTCATCTTTCGGTATCTCTTTCTTTCTTTCCTTACATGTTTACATTTGCTCACATCTTATCAAATCTCTTCCCCTTCCAGCGCGACACCGCAGCAGATTTTTCTACGCGGAAAACAGAAGTTCAATTGGAAATTGTTTCTCTGAAAAACTGGAAGTTGAAGATGTGAAAGCGAAGCCTTCGTGCAAGACTTCCCTCAAAAGCTGAAAGTTGAAGTTGTGAAAGCGAAGCTTTCGTGCGAGACTTCCCTTGAAAAACTGTGGAAATGAAGCTTTCGTTCGAGACTTCCCTGGCAAAGTGCAACTGGAGGTTGTGAAAATGAAGCCCCAACTGTCAGTTACAGTGCGGGACTGATCCTAGCATCCGAACATAGCCGAGACCTTTCGAAACCGCCGCGCGGCAGACCTTCCCCGTCCATCTTCTGATGCACGATTTGTGCTGCAAAGCACAAGATTTCGCCCAGCCGTTATCTCAAAAACGCATTTTGTGCGAGGCTTCCCTCAAAACCTGAAAGTTGAAGTGTTGAAAACAAAGCGTTCGTGCGAGACTTCCCTCAAAAAGTGAGCGTGCAAGGGGTGAAAACAAGGCTTTTGTGCGAGACTTCCCTCAAGAAGTGAGCGTGCAAGGGGTGAAAACGAAGCTTTCGTACAAGACTTCCCTGAAAAATTTAAAGGTGAAGTGGTGACAACGACGCTTTCGTGTGACACTTCCCTCAAAAACTGAAAGTTGAAGTGGTGAAAACGAAGCTTTTGCGCGCGACTTCCCTCAAAAACTGAAAGTTGAAGTGGTGAAAACGAAGCTTCTGCGCGAGACTTCCTTCAAAAAGTGAAAGTGGAAGTGGTGAAAATGAAGCCTTCGTGCGAGACTTCCCTCAAAACCGAAGGTTGAAGACGTGAAAACGCAGCTTTCGTGCAAGACTTCCATCGAAAGCTGAACACCTTCAATGGTTGTGAGTGGTGCTTGTGAAAGCGGTGGAGGTCATAGTGGTGCTTGTGATAGTGGTGGTTGTGAAATGGTGGTTGTGAAAGGGGTGGTTGTGATAGTGCTGGTTGTGAAAGTGGTGGTTGTGGTGTTGGTAGTGACAGTGGTGGTTGTGATCATGGTGGTTGTGATAGTGGTGGTTTTGATAGTGGTGATAGTGGTAGCAGTGATAGTGCTGGCGGTGCTTGTGAAAGTGGTAGCGGTTGTGATAATGGTGATTGTGATAGTGGTTGTCGGATCGTGGTGGTTGTGATAGTGGAGATAATGGCAGCGGTGATAGTGATAGTGCGGTTGTGATAGTGGTGGTTGTGATAGTGAGTGGTGATAATGGAGCCGGTGACAGTGATAGTGCGGTTGTGATAGTGGTCAGCCATTGTGATAGTGAAACTTCGTTACGCAGAAGTATAGGCTTCTAAACTTACTTTGATCGTCCGTTTGCATTTCTGTTGACTTTTCCTCATCTTACATCCCGACTTCCGCTTGTTTCCGCGGCTAAACCCCACTCTCTGAAGGTGCCTGCGCTCTTCCTCAGCCACACGTCGACGGATGGCCTCTAACTCTTCTATGCGTGCCTGGCGGTAGCCGTGATAAAAACCATAAGGAATATAAGTCATCAGTATTTGAACCATTAGAAGCGATACTTCTCGGGGAAATCGCTGTTGCTTATATCCCCATTGTCCTTGTAGGCTATATCACCTTACATCCCTATCTTGTATCTAGTCTATAGCGGAAAAATACTCAGCATCGGGATATAGCCGTCATTCCTTGCAAAACAAATGCGTACAAATATCCAAGAGCTATTCCGTTCCCTACTCACCATCTTAGATCTATCACCATCCACCCACATCTCGCGCAGGATGATGAACCTCCTCTTCTTCACGCATTTGTCGGTCAGCTTCCTCACGCGCCAAACGCTCCTGCTCCTGCTGAGCGACATGTAGATGGGCCATGATGGGCCACACGTTGGAGATCTGGCACAGTGTACTGCTCTCTCTGGCACTCTAAACTGTCAATGAAATTATTTATGGCCACGTATAGTATAGGTGATTTTCATTGTGAACATGCCCCTGTTCCTTTGCCAGCTTAGATTGCACGAGGTGAAGTTCCCAGAGAAGTTGTTTGCTTGGAAATATCTCCGCTCATATCCCTTTGTGGCCATACTTTGGGCAGTTCATCATCAACCACCATTTGGTTTGCTGTCTCTTATCCCTGTGATTGATGCTGACTGTTCTTGGTTTTGCTGATGATTAGCTTTCATTATCCCAATGATTTTCTCACCGCTGATGTTAGAACAATCAAAAAAAGAAAGCCACAAAAACATGCCCTTCCGTGCTTAAATTATTCCATCTCTGTCCTTCATGGTTAAACACCACCGTTTTTGCTTCACCCAGCCCCTTTCATCACGTCCTCCGCTTCGCGCATCTCCCGTTCGGCCTGTTCTCGTCTCGCTTGGCGGGCCTCCTCCTCACGCGGATGTGGGCCGTCAGATTGACCCAGATTGTGCCTCTATAAAATTGAAAACAGTGGGCAAAAAATGAACACCACCAAAGAGAAGAACACCCAGACATACCCTGACATTCTCTGACTGTCTTGGGCTGATTGGGACAGATATGCGTCAACTATAAGCAACAGTGGACGTTTAAGGGAAAGCAATGATGATATTGAGGGATTTACGAATCAAAAAAAGGGATATTTATTCGGAGAATGAAGATCAATCATCAATGATGGGGATTCGCCTATTGTTTGGGTCTGTTTGAACATAGGGATTTTTTACGCCAGTCTTTTTCTTCAAATTTGCAATTTCCAAGTGCCTGTCTGCTGAGAAATGCCCGGGCACAAAACAAAATTGGAAGCAGCATGCTGGCAGCTCCTTCCACGTTCAAGACCCAGCTCTCCAGCCATTGCTGGCTAACCAGCCAGCTAAATTTCAAAACATGAAGTCAACACACCGCGGAGTCAAAACTTGCCTCTCTGCATAACTTGGGCTAAATCGACAAACCCTAGTGGGATAGAATCGAGGAAACCTGTCTTTTATCCTGCCTGGAGCAGCCACAAGCCACCTTCATGATTGTTTCAACCAGTGCCCACCCGCAAAAAATATGCCAGTGGCAAAAATAGTGATCCCAAGTTGGGATGGACAACCAGGAGGTCAAATCATTAGCCCAGTTTTATTGGTGATACCTCCATGCATGTGTCCGTTCAACTCCAGCATTTGGTGGCTCAATCCCGACTTATTGTTGGTTCAAAATGCTATGACTATAATATGTGTGTCTGTATAGGTGTACATGATCATTTGGATCCCAAAGTTCCGGTGGTAAAACCTCCGTGTTCAACTCTGCATCCATTCCCAACTTTGACCCCATCCAGTCCTCTTGTCGCGCCGCCTCCTGACGTTGTGCCTCTGCTTGCTCTTCCAGCCACCGTTGTTGAGCTTCCTTCAGCGGCGAGGGTGTGGGTCCCTTGAAGGTATTGCAGAGCAGCTGACGTTTGCCGTGTCTTGAAAAACCGAATCGTTTCACAATGTTTGACATACCTTCCGCATTATATCTGGGCATCTCCTGAATTTTCGTGATGTTCAAAATACACCCTGGAGGGTACAGACCACATCGCAATGATTTGCTTGCCTCTTGCTCCCTAAAGCGCGCTTCCTCCTGTTGGCGCCTCTCGTCCTCCTGGGGCCAAGTGCTGAACCGGCGGTTCATAATCAGCTGGCCAAACTTGCTGGTTTAAGCTCACTTAGCTATGGAAAACGGGTGATTTATATTGAATTTACTTAAAACATGGTGATTTTCCAAAGCTATGTTAGTTCACTGGAACGTAAATGATGCCAGCCCGTAGCTTAAAGGTTTTGGAGTGGGAGCGCTTGAAACATGGCAAGGTCACAAACATCTGGAGGGTTGCCAGCTGATAGTCGGTGCAAGAGGCCCATCACATCCCAATGGATTTCCTCATCTACTTGGTGGTTTTTACCACATCCAAAAAATGAACCAATTGGAGATAATCATGTCGAATTTTGGTGAACACTAGATAAGGCTTGAAACTTCCAGCCAGTCCAATCGTACCTCCAACATATGTACATATAATATATAATACTAAGTTATTTTATACATTCTCGAACACATGTAAGTTATATGTATATATATACATATACGATAAGGTTACTGTATGTATCAGATATAAACAGCGATACGCACATCATATATGCATGGTATTTAAATATGTATATATATATATACAAATAAATATATATATATATATACAAATATATATATGTATAAATGTATATGTATATGTATATGTATATGTATATGTATACATACATACATACATACATACATACATACATACATACATACATACATACATACATTACATACATTACATACATTACATACATTACATACATTACATACATTACATACATTACATACATTACATACATTACATACATTACATACATTACATACATACATACATACATACATACATACCTACGTACGTACGTACGTACGTACGTACATACATACATACATACATACATTACATACATTACATACATTACATACATTACATACATTACATACATTACATACATTGCATACATTTCATACATTGCATACATTGCATACATTGCATACATTACATACACTACATACATTGCATACATTGCATACATTGCATACATGCATGCATGCATGCATGCATACATGCATACATACATACATACATACATACATACATTACATACATTACATACATTGCATACATTGCATACATTTCATACATTGCATACATTGCATACATTACATACATTACATACACTACATACATTGCATACATTGCATACATTGCATACATGCATGCATGCATACATGCATACATGCATACATACATACATACATACATAAGTACATACATACATACATACATACATACACCACACATACACACACACAATACATACATTACATACATTACATACATTACATACATTACATACCATACATACCATACATACCATACATACCATACATACCATGCATACATACATGCATGCATGCATGCATGCATACATACATGCATACATAAATACAAAAATACATACATACATACATACATACATACATACATACAGACAGACAGACAGAAATATATATATATATATTAGATTGTCGCTTGTACCCCCATATGACTTGCCGTCTCCATTTCTTGGCACTGCACCCCATTGACATCCCCATCGCATCCACTTGCTGGGCCTCTCGTAACCATGCTTCTTGAGCTTCCTGATGCGGGGCGCTGTATTTCACCAGCACAAAATGTGTTTAAATAGCTACCACCTAGTCAAACGTTAGTAATCTCTTCTTCCTTTTCGAAACCTCCGATATATAATGAAAGATTTTAGTTTATCATTTGGGGAAAGCTTCTCAGCCCAATACGACACACTTCCTGACAATGAAAACTTCCTATTTTTTTCTCTTTTTGCGGGGTCGTTCAAAGTAGGGCGAAAGGGTTAATGTGGATCCCCAAAATGGCCAACATCATAAGATCCACTTCTTAAGCACATCTTGAAAATCATGAATCATTCCCAGCACATGATCTAAACCAAACAAAATCAACAATTTCGTTCTCAAGTCCTTCCCGCCCTGGCCCCCATCTTCCTTCGTCGGTTCTCCGGCCTCGGTCATAGCGGCCATGGACATCGGATCCCGTGAGCTCCGGGCCTCCCCAGTGCGCCAGCGATCGGCGGCACGTTGCAAGTCCTGGAACTCCGATGCTAAGGTGCTGATCTCCTGGCGTTGCCAGTAAACCAACAACATCGTGGTTTAGGTTTCCATTTTTTCGGTATGTTTCATTGCTGGTTCAGCTTGCATCTTTGCACAGCTTAATTTCTCCTGGTCATCCTAGATATTTTCTACTTAATTCAGCTCATGTGGATGATGATCCCAATACCCCAATATGTGCCAATGTTGAGTCATTTTTCAATTATTGCAGTTGTTATCCATTTAATTTTTGCGGGGGAAGTGGCTTTGAATTGAACCCTATCCCAGAAAACAAAACTGGATAGTCACACGAACATGAGTGACTTCTGATTTAAGCAGCTTTTGGAAATTGGCCCAACAGAGGGGCAAAAGCATTCCCGGTAAGATCTGGCAAGATCCGGTAAGACTGAAAACAAGTGACACGTGCGACAGGTAAATGAATGAGAGGAGGACTAACCATTGGTTTGCCACCGTCATGGACATACATGGACATCTACCGCGGGCTGCTTATGGTGCCCCCATGGTGGCGCTCACCTCGAGAACATCAAAGCGTTCTTCGGCAACGCAAACCTCCACCTGGACGAGGTCTGTGGAAAGCAGCATGGCTCAATGAGTCTGAGAAGAACTGTTGGTTCAACTCTTGGTCCAAGAAAATGCCTGGCTGTTTAAAACCAACCATGTGTCATTTTTTATGTGAATGATTTGGTGGAAGCCTGTGAAATTCCAACGTCACTTTGTTTGAACTTTGTGCCGTGTGGCGCATGTGGATGGGGTAAGATGCCATCAGGAAACCAACCCAGGTGGCACCAAGCCTGTTGTTGCAGCTGTTCCATTCCGGTACCAGCTTCAGAGAGCAACATCTCCAGGATATTGGCCATATCTTCTGAGTAGGCATTGTCCAAAACCTGCCATCTGGCAACGACTTTGAGTCGCTAGTTTCTGAACCAGTTCACTCACCAGTTCTTGCTTTAATTTGTAACAGTCATATGCAAAGATCAAGAGCAAAAGGGGAATTGATCTGGGATGCTGACAGCTGATAGGGTGCCATTAAGTTTCAATTTATACTGATATCTGCAAGACGCAACGGGATGAAGCACAAAGTCACTGTTGACTTTTCGAAACATCGCAAGGATTAAACCTCTGCCGGCATCTCCCCTGCAATGTTGTCATAATGTTGTCATGCTGCGCAACAAATTCCATAAAGACTTGAAAGCAAAACACCTACACAGCCCACACAATTCACATGTTTTTTTTTTTCTCTCTCTCTCTCTCTCTCCCTCCCTCCCTCCCTGATACATGCCAGTTGCCATTGTTCCGAAGCGCTTTGGAACCCCACAACATGTTGCAACCCGTCAGCAACTGAATCCAGCCTCGCTAATTGGCTGCACCAAATCTTCTCGCACCTGCGCTAAGCGCTGTTGCACGGCAGCCACTGTGACGGCTGTGACGGTGGCAGCTGTGGGCGCTGGGGCCTGCCACGCCAGTGCTGTTGCTGCTGGTTTTGACTTCCGTGAGTGAGATACCTTAAGCCAATAGTCACTGGTGGTGACAGTAATTACTTACAATTTGGGCGCCGTACGGCCTTTCGATGACTTGAGCCTGCTTGGCAATCGCAGACACACACACACTTTTCCCACGGACTACTTCGCACTTTGTGCAAAGTCGCAAAATGCATCCGGAATCATCTGGAATCTATCACCCATGAACCATACTTGCACTTAAAAAGTCTAAAGCAATTATAATTCAAAAGTCTAAAGCTCAATTCGTAGCTCCCTGGCTCAACTTCAAGAAGGAACATACAAATATACGATGCGTGAATTAAAAACCATACTATACCTATGGCATTCATAGCTCCTTAGCTCCACCTGCGCCACCTCCGGTGCAGTGGCTGGCTGCCGTGCCGCCCGCGGCGCCGGTGGCGGCGCAGGGCGCCGGCGGCTCTGCGGCTGCGCAGGGGCCGCAGGCGCCTTGGGCGACGCGGCAGGCGATGGCCTCGTTTAGGGCTGGAGCGAAGGAAACGCGCCAGAAACTCTTGGGAAAAAGTGGGAAACGTGTCATAAGGATCATTTCATGTCAATTCGGGTCAGTTGTCAGAACTGTAATTGGTTTTTTATTTTGACATATTCAATGATATCTATGGTTGATTGCTACAGGCTGGTTCCTAAACCTGGGAGAAGCACCCAAAAATGATTCGGCACTGGTGTTCGTTCCGGGGAAAAGGAGCCTGGAGCGATTGAAGAGCTTAAACAAAGGCATAGTCAGCCCACAGCTTCCCCAAGGACGCCATGGCAGGGCAAAGCAGCATGAGATGCGAGGCCCAACAACCAGTTTGAAACAGACAGTCAAGACCGCTCGTCTTTTGATCTGCATTGTCTATAGTACCCACGGTTTGGTGTCTACACCTCCAGATGCATGGTGGAATCATATGGAATCAATGTCGGCCGCCTGTGGCAACTCGTTTCCAGTCTGTGGCTGGTGTATATGGCTTTTCAATGTTGGCCCAGGCCCATTAGCCTACCATTGAAGGCACTTCGATCCAAAATCCGCATTCCATACTAGGAGAAGGCCACTTCGACAATGGCACACATAAGCATTTCCGCCATGTCAAACACTTGCAGGTTTTGGCCTTCGTCTATGATGCAGCCCAACTCGTCGTAAGACAGACCTTCGTCCCATTTGCAGAACTTTGCGATGAACCCGCGACTGGCGCCCACACATGGACTAGACCAGGCTGACAGATTTATTTTTTCGTCTGAAATCGAATCCACCGCAACTCTGCCGCTGCTAACCCTTCACCTCAGTGTTGGATCACAGATAGTTCAGGTCGCAAAGCCATTGCAAACAGCATTTGAGCAAGGGTGTTTGTTTTTTCCAACCGAATTTTGGCCATAGGGTTCAAACCCGTGTGATCCCCAAACTAGAAGTGAATTTAATCAAAAACAACTCGAATGCCACGCCCTCTCAGAAGATGTCCGAAAGCATTTAGTATACATAAAAAACACATGTCCACATATTTACTGAAAGGAACTGCAAATGTATATCTATATTTATATATATGTATAAATACATTATATATATACATATATATATATTATATTATATTGGTGTCATATAGCAAAGATAGAACTATTTGGCCAACAGCACGGCCAAGTGAAGCCACGTGACTGGTTTCAGCGTCAACTCCCTCAACTCCGCACGGTCCAAGTGGGGCAGCTCCCGGTGCTTCTTGGGGCTCAGGCCCTGGTGGGGAGTTCCCGAACAAAGCTGTGATTACAAGATGGTTATTGGATGGTTATGGGATTTGATGATGGGATGATTTTTAGGCGTTTTCCCTGGGATTTATGGAATCAACGAACACCAGCTTCTATAAATATTGGAACATGATGGTGACATTTTGCTGGGATGCTTAACTTCATGCGATGGGGTGCAACGAGCTGCACCGAGAAGCCAGGCCAAGAAAGCAGTTTGAAGGATTTGCAAGGCATCACCATGTGACACCAGCACCTGGCTCCAGCAGTGAAGCATTCCCAGTGGACATCGGACACTCATACACACATCTACATCAGATCAGCACACGGGCAAAAAATGCAGATACAGATACACTTATACCAGCAGTACCACGCAACGCGGTGGCGGAAGTTTCAAAGATAGGAAACTATAGGAGAGGCGAGTTGTTGTGATGAATGGCTGGCAGAGACAACACACTGATGGATCGAAAGGTGGCTGAGGCTCTGAGTCTCTCTCTCTCTCTCTCCTTGTCTCTCTGTCTCTCCCTCTGTCTATCTACCTGCCTTTTTCTAATGTAGTTGCAGTTGAAGTTGTAGGTGTAGTTGCCGGTGTACGTGTAGGTGTAGTTGTAGGTGTAGTGTGGTGGTAGTTGTAGTTGTAGGTGTAATCTAGTTGTAGTTGTGGTTGTAGTTGTAGTTGTAGTGGTAAATGTAGTTGTAGTTGTGGTGCGGTGTAGCCTGGTGTAGGGTAGTTGTCGTTGTAGGTGTAGTTGTAGGTGCAATTGTAGTTTGTAATTGTATTTGTGGTTTGTAGTTGTAGCTGTAATTGTAATTGTACTGCCGCGACATGAAAAATGACCTTTGAACGTCCAAAAGTGGTCCGAACATGTGGTGTTTTAGCATTTCGACTTCGAAATGTGCTTCTCGCCACAATGGCGTGCACTTTTTGAACAGCTCTTCTTCCAAAAGTGGTCCGGCACTGTGGTGTTGTTTGAACATTTTGAGTTCGAAATGTGCTTCGCGCCACAATGGCGTGCATTTTTTGAACATCTCAATTGACAAAAGTGCTCTGAACCCGCAGTGGTGAGAACATTTTCACTGCCAAACGCGCTCGTGCCAAAACGCCGTGCACTTTTTCGACATGTGAACTTCCAAAAGTGCTCCGAGCATGGTATGTTTTGCGCATTTTAACTTCCAAATGTTCTTCGCGCCAGAACGGCCTGCACTTTTTCGACATCTGAACTTCCAAAAAGTGGTCGGAACATGGTGTTTTTTTTTTGCCATTTTGACTTTGAACCGCGCTTCAGGCGACAACGGAGTGCAATTTTCACCTCTCATCTCCCCTAATATGGCTACACGCCCGCCGCTTTAGCGAGCCTACTTTTCGACCCTCCGGAGCTACAAAAAATTAGAAAAACCGTGTTTCACGACTTGTCTACCTTTTTGCGCACCTGATCATCTTTCTTCTGCCTTTCTCTTCTCTGACTCTTCCCACCTCTGCTTTTCCATCTGTCCATTTTGTCGGAAGTTTGACTTCTAAACTTCCTTCGGTCATGTGGTTTGTGCACGCCCAGGCATGGACGGATGCGCTGCTTCCAGTGGCAAAGAACTTGTGCCGCGACACATGCCTTTCTGTCTTTTGAATCTCTGTCATTGCTTTCCCCAATCCACACTTGTCTCCCCCGGAGGTTCAACGCACCACATCTGCTCCATCTGGAAGGTTGCGATCCAACCTTGACGCGCGTTGGCATCAACGTATCTGAGGATTCCCAACAAGCCAAGAGCATAGTGGCAAATGGTTCCACGTGGTTCTACTGTTGAGCAATGTCGTATGAAGGCTTTTGTTGTCCGAAAGAGTGAAAGTGTTGCATACTGAATTTCGAATCACTATTTTGGACTACTAGCGTTTCCTGTCCCGTTCAAGTCCACTTTTCTAGCATTTGTTGGTTTCCAAGTGCTAGTGCCTCCCCTCAAGTGCAGGTTCCAGGGATTGCAATCGCAGTTCCTAGAGCTCGTGCTGTGCCACTAACTTCGAGGTTCGTTTCTGCACAGCCTGCTGGGTCTCAAAGGCAAGCCCTTCTACGGAGGTGAGCCAGATTTTCATACCAAACGCTTGGGACCTGTAAGCAACAGTGACAAAAACACAAAAGATGTAAATTAATGGGTTTTGACTTTCACCAATGCAATTCCATTTGGCACTATGATATGCAAACAAAAAGATATACATTGATATCCTACATGTCTGACTATGGTTCCATCAGGAAAACACGAATCAAAACCAGGTACTGTAGTCACTGTAGTCTGTAGTTGGCTGTGGCTTTGGCCCAGGAAATCAACAGTTGGCAGTCGACCCCTGTTGGCCTCTGCTGCTTCCACTCCAAAGGGTCGAGCACCGCAATCCACCTTATCCTTCACCCACACCTAGGGGATGTCGAAGAAACAAATAAGCACACTAAAAAATAAGCTGATGGGGGTATGACATAACTGACATCCTGTCGGATGTGCTTTTTTTTCCTGATCCGGGAGGTATCTGTCTGTTCTTGTGCCAATGCTGTTGGCTGGGATGACGGCACCCAGCTATCCAGCTTCATCCAATGTCATGGCACCTCTGGATAACGAGAGTCCGGTCCAGCTTCAAGTTGGCCAAAACGCCTCAAGCATGGGTGATGTGGCGTCATATCATGTGGCAAACCCAATGGCGCATCATCTCCCAATGGTTCAAATAATCCTTATCAATTCTGGTCAGAGGAGTCTTGTTGGATTGCCGAGGGAATGTCCATCGGAAACCCCTGTCCTGGTGATTGGAACGGCAAGCACCAATAAATTACACAAAGCAGCATGCTCTCCAAAACATGCCCGGAGCTGGAAGGAGGCAACAGGTGAAACTCTGCTGGACCTCTCCCGCAGCTCCGTGGCAATGCGCACAGGACAAACATGACCTGCCTGCACGCCGGCAAACACAAGAACGTCAGGGCCACTCCCATCATCAATGGGGTTCAAATGGATGGAACATGGGAATCCATGTCGCACCACTACACATCATCAATGACCATTCCGAACGCCAACCACTGGAACCCAGCCCAGCCTTTCGCAGCGCTTTGGCAAACAGCTGGGCGGTTTCCCTGGCCCGAGAGAAATCGCTGGTCCTTGGAGGTCTCAGTGCGACAGCTGGATGCATGTTAATACCATGCATTATCATGTGGGGTTGCCGTCATATATTATTGTAAGAGTATTCATGATTATTCTTTCAGGAACTTATGGGGTTGCCATCGTAAATTTCATCCAATGTAAAACGCATACTTATCACACAAATCATGCAGGACCAGCACCGGTCAGGCGATCTCAGGCGCCAACACCATCACCACGCCTCAGGTGGAACACATCCGGCGATGGATCGTCCGTGGTCATCCCCCTTTCTGATGAGGCACGTTTTGCAGCAGTTTTCTGGAACATCTTCCCAGCGTGCGTCGCACCAACACAGCCTCAATGCGGGTGGAAAATGAACAAATTGAGAGCGTTATTTGTTCCATGTAAAGAACATCTCAACAATTATATGTGACATTGGCAACATCTTGGATGTTGCATGAACGATTGAAAACAAACGAAAAAATGGCCTCCAGACCTCATGAGAAATTCAGGCCTTTGTCTTGTCATTGGCACTTGCACGGGAGGTGAACCACAACCACAATCTTTGCAAAAGGTGTGTAAGCAACTGTTCACTTTCATGGTGGGGTGCTTGAAGTTAGAAGTTTTTGTCCCACCTGCAGGCGTCAGGCCATAAGCTTTAGTTCCAACCTGTGGATTTGCATGGGGCGAGTGAAACATGGAATTTGTTTTGTGCCCCAGGCATTGCCATCGACCATGCTGCTTACCTCCAAATCTGAATCAGAAACATTCAGAAACTATGGCCTATGGATGGATACGAATTCTATTTCGAACGCAACTTTGTTCACATCAAGCCGCCTTGGGGTCAGAGATAATGATCTTCGCCACATTAGCCTTGGACCTGAAATTTGGAAACAGCGAAATCCAATGGTTTCCCGTCCTTTTCTCACTCTTCCCCATCATTTTTCAGGGTTTGGCAACCATTTCCCTATATCATTCTGCCATATTTCTTATTGGTTTTTCATCATTTTGCCATGTCTTGTTCATATTTTTGGTGAGCCTCCTTAGGGTATTCCCTCATTTTCAGCCATCTCCGTGTAGGAATTTTGGTTCCCAACTTCCCCGGAGACCTCCCTGGGGCTCCAACTCCCCATGACGCAGGGCAAAAAAACGATGCCGCCTGAATTCGGGACGTGGCCTGGAAAATTAAATTGCGAAAAACCACATATAGTCTATGAATTGTAGTTATTCGCATATGGATTTTCGGGTTTTCCTTCACATGTATCATTATATGTATCTATATATTCTTCTTGATGGCAGTAAGATATCGAACCAGAGCCAATGGCCTAACGGAAAATTAATAAATAGTAGTAGGAATAACAATGATAAACCGTGACAAATGACCCATAACGATTAAAAACATTGATAAATGATAAACCATACACTAGTAAACCAATAATATCCAATAATTATACTATGAAATTCCTGATTTTATATATCCAACAAAACATGTCAAATAACAATTTCACCAACGAATCCCCGCACCAACCATTGAACGTCTCAAGTCCCACATGCAAATGGCAGTTTCCAATCCATGGGGGTACCTCCAAATCACCCAATCGTGGATGACCACACTAGAATATTGAACCCCCTGGTGACTCGGGGATCCCCCATGCATTAAGAAACCTCCAAATGATGCAACATGTCACCGTCAACAAATAACATCCACTGCTGGGGGCCATGCAACTTCTTGGGCAGGCAATTCGAAGGCACCTTCCAGGCAACGGGCCTACCAAGCACCTGCCCACATGATCTTGCTTACCACTGCAACACCGAAAAAGTGACACATCTACTCACATGATAAGGTAGAATTTACAATGCTGTAAGGGTCATAAAGGAAAGAACTACATTTTTAGATGATGCCAACGCCAAATTAATAAACACTGGTTTACCAATGATGCGGGATACTTCAAAATCTTGATGGCAATTTGCAAAAAATGTCGCGCCCCAAATTTAACAGCCCGTGGGTTTATTAATCTGGGGTTGACATTACCCTCAAACAACTCTACTTGATATTGTTGCAATACTGACCCACTACAAGTTTACATGTAACCAAAAAACAAAGGTGAGGGTGGAACTGCCGCGGAGGAACCCCTTGAGTTTGCGTGTTGGCATTTGCCACAGAGATGACACGGCACACCTTCCTGCGGCGCATCTGAGTGCCCTTCATGTTTTCTGCTTATCTTTGATGTTGAAACAATGCAATTTTACCTCGTTGGCTTTGTTACCTTCAGAACTGCCAAAAGAGTTTAAACCAGTGTCGACAAATGTTGGCCATTCAAATGGCCCAACTGGAAAGTATCATGTTACCATCAGTGCCATGAACCTAACCAGTGGCAAAAGTAGAGTGGCAAAAGTAGAGGTTCTTTGGTGAGAAACGACTCCCTTGGTGCACGTTTTTGTGCAGCATCAAGTGGGGACGTTTTTTTCTTGATTATGCGTGCGCTTGTCTGTGAAATCCAGCCCTACTTTGCGGCAAAATGAAACTTACTATCTTGATGGCTCTGGACTTTGCAATGCTTGAGCCAGCCGGTGCGGGAACATTTCCTGTGCCAAGGAAAGTCATGATGGCACGTACAAATTACACTCAAATCAGCAAACATGATTTCACAGCTCGTCGCGCTGATTCGATTTGAATCAGACGCCGGAAAATTCAAACATATTCTCATCAGCGCCCCGTTGCCCGTTGCAAAGCGAAAGGAAAACAGCAGTTGAAATTTTGTTTTGCTGGTGGCTGGTGGCAACCTACCGGTATCCATCACTTTGACATCGCGTGCTTTGCGCGACGTGTTGCGACCAAAGGGTTTCCACTGGTGGAAACACATGGAAACCATTCCCGCGAAATGCTATGGACACACCTCTACCTCAGTGCAGAAGGATGCCACAAAAAAAGGTGTGACGTGGAAAAAACAAGAAGGACGGACCAATGAAATTGTTGCTGGTACTTGGAGGCCCGAAATTGTTGCTATAGTACTTGGAAACCCGGAAACGCACCCCATGTGAAGTTCAACTAATTTCTAATGTGGAACTCAATCCTTTACGTAAACGGCCCAATCAAAAAATTGCACATCAGCATGATGTCCTGTTCCTCCTGTTGGTTGTTGCGGATTTTCATGTTCATAGTTGTGATGACCATGCCTCACATTATACAAAACGCCAGCTACGTGGACCCGAAAATATTTTCTCCTAAAACCACTCGCAGATGCCTTAGACAGCCTGGTTGCAAAAAGTACGTTCCCGGAGGCGAGAAATTCTTTATTCCCGCGCCAGTTGGAAACAACAGAATTTTCCGATCCTTGGTGTTCAGCGCTTCGCAGCGCATCCTTCGTTCATTGTAAGGCAATGTTCAACACAAGTCATGCAAAAATGTACCCTTTTGACAAGCTGGTCTGCTTGACAAGCATCTGGGAGATGCGCGGGGGGAACTGGATCCGGCCACCTCCGTTGGTGCAAATGCTTCGATGAAACCCGCGTGATTTTTGTTTGTCCATGCATCGTTTTTTTGCAATCACCTTGTGGCTTGGTAATGGGCATGTTCTTTGGGTTGTGGCGTCAACTAACTCCCAAACACAAAGCCGGATAGGGTAATCGAGGGTAACCTTCCCTTGCGGAGATGAGATGAAAGGAACCACGAAAACATTATCATTTGACTTAGGGCGTAAAAACGATGTTTTTCCCAATCTCCACGCCCCCAATCGCACGTGAAAAGAAAACATTGGCCGCCGCACCATGGATCCCCATTTGGTTTCATCATTTCCTGAGATATGGCTCGTCCAATGCTTGGAAACATGGACTTGGATATCTATGGGTTCAAACTTTGATGCGTCTTTGCTGCCAAGGTTCCTTGGGAAGGTGCGTTACCATACCTCCATGCGATGTGGATGTCGTGGAGCATTTGATGGCATTTTCAACAAGCCCCCGCCCGAAGCATAAACACACCAGAGGCACTCTTGGTGTTCCAATCGTGCAAAATGTGTTCCATTTTGCCGTGATGAGCATTCGCCCGGGCAAGAGCCTAGCCAGCAGCGTGACATCTGCCACTGCATGCAAAGTTCATCCGGCCAAATTGTCATGAACAAACATCAGAATTAGAATTTTTTGATCTTGGCATCACTGCGTGGCCGTGTGTTTTGTGCTGCACCGCTTGTGAAAATTTTAATGTTGAGAAATGACGATCCAACAATGACAGCTCTGGCACTACGGTGTGGACAAAATCGGCACAGTCACAAAGTCCAAATATGCTATATAATCCCGACCCCGCACAATATCACACAGTTCCAGCAACAATACATATTCAGAGTGTATGCGCGAGCACTGGCCATGGTCAGCGCTGCTTCCAAGCACGAACTTCAAGAAGAAAATTGAACATCGCCCGTGACAGGTGCACACCGACACACAAAACATGGATATGATTGATAAACACAAATGGAATTTCGGTTGTATTTTGACACAGTTTTCCCGAAAAGGGATGGCGTGTGGTGTTAATTGATGGGTTGGGCGAAGGCAGCTGATGATATTGGCCATTACATTGGCGATGATAATTGTAAGCATGATGTTGACGCTGGTGGCGGTGGTGGCGGTGGTGGCGGTGGTCTTGACGACAACGGCAGCAGCAGCAACAATGAGTGACGCCAGACGGAAAACGGATGTGGACAATCAGGGGAAGGATGAGCGTGGGCGAAGACCATGGCAGCACTGATAAGGATGGAGGCGAGGCTACAAATGATGGTGAGAATGACGTAATATGACGTATAAAGTTGATACCGGTGGAGGCACCCATCAACGTCTATCAATACAAACCGGCCGGTGATGTGAATGAAACAAAAACTATGACCGCCCGGTTCATGATGCACAGTGCACGACGATGATGATAGTGATGGTGATGGTGATGGTGGAGATGATTTTGTTGATGATGTTGCAAAGAATTGCTGATGATGTTGGCGATTGATTGGAATGATGATTGTGGTGGCCAACACGATCTTTTACAATTGGATTGTCAAGAAACAGTGCTAATCCTTACCCGGGCTATCCGCACAATTCCTGAGACCTTTTAGGCCTATTGATGCCTATTGCTAGTGCGTATAGTTTCAATTCTCCTGCTTGCAAAGCGCTGAATTGTTAGAGGCCGCAAAATATGAACACGTGAACTAATTGACAGACCCGACACGGCAAACGCAATTGCAATCCAAGGGCTGGTGTCCAAGAAAATTTGGCTATCACAAATGCTCGGCATGATTCTGCAAGATTTGGATTGCGTGGGTTTCTGGCCGTCTGGCATCCCTGAAGCATATATGGTGGTAATTGATGTGATGGCATTTTTTATGTCCAAAGGCCGGATTTTTGCTTGTCTCGGTACGGGCAAGGCCTGCACAAACATGTCTGACTGTTTGACACGTTAGGCGCTTGTTAGGCAAATGCCTGATGATTGCAACGGAATAATTTGTTTCCGAAATGATTTGCCACCTGCCCGGTGAAGGGCCTTAGATTTTAAGAGTGGTGCACCTCCTCGTCGGCTTCCTCCCTGTTCCTTCTCCTCCGCCTCTTCCTCTCCTCACCTATCCCTTTTGCCAGCTCGTCGCAGCTGTGGGCACCAATGGGCCCGGGGCTTGCAGCAAGTGCCAGACGCTCATCACAAACTGTGATTCGGTCGGCCATGGCAGTTGGGCACGCATGGGCACACATGGGCACGCACACATGCCAGAGAGAACTTAATCTTTTCGAATATATATATATATATACACACATGTATATATATATATATAAGATAAAACGCCGCAACAAAAACCAAATAGAATGGCAATACATATGCCACATAAAATGCAATAAAAAAATCAAAATATATACGCGCGAGAAAATGCCACGCAGAATGCCAAATTGAATGTTAAAATGTTTGAAAATGAATCTGAAATATAGTGCCAAACGGAATGCTAAATGGAATGCCGGAATATATGCTAGCAAAAATGCTGGCTAAAATGTCAAAAACATATGTCGGATAGGATACCAGATATATTGTCAAAATAAAAAATCGGGTAGAATGCGACCTGTATACTCCGGATCTATGCCAAATATAGCAGTAAAATGTATGCCTGAGTATGTATCAAGGTGTGGGTCACTCGAAGAAAATAAATTTTATTATTGTACTTCAGGCATAATTTGTTTGCCTTGGTTCTTGCGACCAGGAATGGCGGAAAGGCTTGCGACTTTGCATCGAAATAGAATTTCAAACCGGACCCGCTGTGAGGCACCAATGCCCGCAAATGCATTTTCAATCTTTGTTGGTGGCCGCAGGGCCTTGCAACTCAAAAACGACAGTGGTGCATACGCAACGGCGTGTTTTATTTTCCTAATTTATAATGGTTTGTTTTGAAACGTGGGCACCTGAAGATTAACATGCAAGAAACGGAGGATAGGAAAACGATCGCAAACAAAACGACATGGAAATAAACGGAGCCGACCAAACCGGAAAAAATGCCCAGTCAACGGAAGAAACGCAACTGGGAACCTGCGACGATACGGCATTGTAAATGATACGCTTCCCGCCTTTGAAACTAACCATGCGTTGTTACGAGGCAGCAGGCGTAGGGTTATTTTTAAATGACTACGTGAGCCGCCGTCAAAATCAATTGTTGGTGCTTGGTGCGAAAGTATAGGTTATCGTTTTTTTTTTTTTATGGGGGGCCTATCTCTTTTCTGTTTTGTTCAAATCAAATCCCCCGTGCATGTGCCCTAGACTGTGGCTGACTGCATTCTATAAAAAATCCGGTTTATAGAATGATTCTGAGGGCGTCTTTTTTAATAGAATGAATCTGAGGCATATTTATGGAATGGTCCGGCAAGTTTAAGGATCTGACATTTCCATGGATAAAAACACCAAAAAGTAGTTTTATAGAATGAATTAGCTAGTTACAAGTAAAAAAACTTTTTTTAAATAGAATGCATCAGCCTAGTGTCAACAAGTAACAAAAATCAATCACTTTCCATTTCTAGAATGCCTAGATTTGGATGATGATATCCCAAGAATATAGATTTCAAATGGTGTCAAATGATCTGACCAATTTAAGCTATTTCTTGGGTCGTACCTTATTTTCAATAATTCAAATAGAAAATTAAGAGAGGTCGTCCGAAAAACGAAATTAGGGTGACGTCGTTTTCCAGGTTGAGGTTGTTGAACACGCTTTGCCTGTATGTAAATATATGAAATGTGTCCAAGTAGTACGTACATAAATCCATCCGTCAGTATCATGATCCCATCACTCTCTTTCCAACATCCTTTTCATCCTTCCCCTCTCACCACATGTGGAGGTACCTGTCTTCGCAGGTGGTAGCCGTTTTGGACGTTGAGGATTCCAACATGGATAAAGGGCACATCACGATGACAGAGCGATCTGTGGGTGCATTCCACCGTTTGAAAGGAGAAGGGGAGTGTGAAGAAGACAAGGCAGATGGTGAGAAGAGCCAGCAGGAGAAACCCAAGCAAGGCAAGGGAACAGGCTTCAAGGCGGCGCATCGCCGACTACGCGGCACTGTTTTCAGATCCATGAAAAAGAACCAGGATCCAGGTGAAACTTCGGATCTAATGGAAACTAGGTGATTTGCCAACAGGGACAGATGTTTATATGCAAACTAGTGCAAAGCAGTGCGGTGCTCGCTATTTTGACCACAGATTTTGGGCCTGATACCAGCGGAGATTCCACTGAAGTCCATGGATTTTCCATGCGAATGAAAACATGTGAAAGTGTTCTCACATCTCGATTTGTGCGTGTCATCCTTACACTGAGTAGGGTTCAAAGGATTTTGCACTCTTCCTTAGTCTCGTGAACGTTGGTAGCTCAAGGGACTACTTTGACACGCCAAGCTTTGGATCTCGTTTGAGATCTGCTTTGCTCGGGTTTTAGGATTGCCCGGCATCCCTCGGGATTCGGGGTTGCCCGGCACCCAATCTCAAAATTTCACCAAATTAGACTGCGAAACAAATCTTTCTTTGGTTGGCAATCCAAATTGACTTCCATGTTTCTCACTTCAAAAGCTCTTGCATGTCGTCTACATAGAACTTGTAGACTTGGGATAGCCACTCTTCTGCTCGGTTTCTCGCCTTTCTGAACGCTCGTTGGAAAGTGTTCCTGACTTGGAACAGCAAATCACTTGTGAGCCCAGTTCCAGACTCCTTGGCATCAATCACATTGTCGATAGCCCGTTGAAACTCCCGAGCGTCCTCAAACAACTCATTTGCCAGGCACTCATGTTGTTGTGACCTGAGATTGTTCAGCAGGTTTTCCAACTGAACCATAGAGTGTTCTCCATCAGCTCGGTGTGCATTGCCTGTATCAGGCTGTTCAGCCTCATTGCATGCACTAAGCTGATCTGATCTCGATTCTCCTGAGCCAGAAGAGCGTGTAGGAGTTGCTGATCTCCTTTGTGGTGGATCTGTGTTTTCTGGTTCCTTTTTGTTCTGGTAGAAGACGGCCATATTGGCCTTCTCAAGCACTTGCAGAGACTCTCGTTGTTCTGTGGAAAGTTTCTGGTGCCTCACAAAACCACCTATCTCGACCAAAACGAATGGAATCCCCATATGTCCCCATAGTCCTCCAACACTTCGAGCTCTCCATCATACCGCTCAACATGGCTCTCAAATCTTCCACGCAAGCTCATAAGTTGGGCCTGCAAAGTGCTCAGCTCATCTCTGTGTTTTCCCAGCGTTGTGTCATCTTCAGCTATTTGCAGCTCATCATAGTACAAGCGCCTATCCAGCTTTCTCCAAAACCAAAACGCTGAAAAACATACTGCCATCCATGCACATGCTAACATCATGAGGCTTACCCAAATCCAAAAGGTGTTGTCCTTCTGGTCAACGATGTTGCACGTCTCCTCCTGCGCTGCAACTGGCACCGGCTCAAGGCCCATTTTTCCCGAGAGCGCCTGCGAAGGGTTCTTCGTAAAAAAGCAGCCGTTATACTACATCTTCACACCTTCACATCTGCTGATCTACATCTTCACACCTTCACACCTGCAGATCTA